CTAAGAAGGCCCATCTTCCTCCAGATTCCTCTTCCATCTTCTAAGAAGGCCCACCTTCCTCCAGATTCCTCTTCCATCTTCTAAGAAGGCCCATCTTCCTCCAGATTCCTCTTCCATCTTCTAAGAAGGCCCACCTTCCTCCAGATTCCTCTTCCATCTTCTATGAAGGCCCACCTTCCTCCAGATTCCTCTTCCATCTACTAAGAAGGCCCACCTTCCTCCAGATTCCTCTTCATCTACTAAGAAGGCCCACCTTCCTCCAGATTCCTCTTCCATCTACTAAGAAGGCCCACCTTCCTCCAGATTCCTCTTCCATCTACTAAGAAGGCCCACCTTCCTCCAGATTCCTCTTCCATCTTCTAAGAAGGCCCACCTTCCTCCAGATTCCTCTTCCATCTTCTAAGAAGGCCCATCTTCCTCCAGATTCCTCTTCCATCTTCTAAGGAAGGTCCGACCTTCCTCCAGATTCTCTTCCATCTTCTTAGAAGGCTGACCTTCCTCCAGATTCCTCTTCCATCTTCTAAGAAGGCCCACCTTCCTCCAGATTCCTCTTCCATCTTCTAAGAAGGCTGACCTTCCTCCAGATTCCTCTTCCATCTTCTAAGAAGGCCCACCTTCCTCCAGATTCCTCTTCCATCTTCTAAGAAGGCCCATCTTCCTCCAGATTCCTCTTCCATCTTCTAAGAAGGCCCACCTTCCTCCAGATTCCTCTTCCATCTTCTAAGAAGGCCCATCTTCCTCCAGATTCCTCTTCCATCTCTAAGAAGGCCCACCTTCCTCCAGATTCCTCTTCCATCTTCTAAGAAGGCCCACCTTCCTCCAGATTCCTCTTCCATCTACTAAGAAGGCACACCTTCCTCCAGATTCCTCTTCCATCTACTAAGAAGGCCCACCTTCCTCCAGATTCCTCTTCCATCTACTAAGAAGGCCCACCTTCCTCCAGATTCCTCTTCCATCTTCTAAGAAGGCCATCTTCCTCCAGATTTCCTCTTCCATCTTCTAAGAAGGCCCACTTCCTCCAGATTCCTCTTCCATCTACTAAGAAGGCCCACCTTCCTCCAGATTCCTCTTCCATCTTCTAAGAAGGCCAACCTTCCTCCAGATTCCTCTTCCATCTACTAAGAAGGCCCACCTTCCTCCAGATTCCTCTTCCATCTACTAAGAAGGCCCACCTTCCTCCAGATTCCTCTTCCATCTACTAAGAAGGCCCACCTTCCTCCAGATTCCTCTTCCATCTACTAAGAAGGCCCACCTTCCTCCAGATTCCTCTTCCATCTACTAAGAAGGCCCACCTTCCTCCAGATTCCTCTTCCATCTACTAAGAAGGCCCACCTTCCTCCAGATTCCTCTTCCATCTACTAAGAAGGCTGACCTTCCTCCAGATTCCTCTTCCATCTACTAAGAAGGCCCACCTTCCTCCAGATTCCTCTTCCATCTACTAAGAAGGCTGACCTTCCTCCAGATTCCTCTTCCATCTACTAAGAAGGCTGACCTTCCTCCAGATTCCTCTTCCATCTACTAAGAAGGCCCACCTTCCTCCAGATTCCTCTTCCATCTACTAAGAAGGCCCACCTTCCTCCAGATTCCTCTTCCATCTACTAAGAAAGGCCCACCTTCCTCCAGATTCCTCTTCCATCTACTAAGAAGGCCCACCTTCCTCCAGATTCCTCTTCCATCTACTAAGAAGGCCCACCTTCCTCCAGATTCCTCTTCCATCTACTAAGAAGGCTGACCTTCCTCCAGATTCCTCTTCATCTACTAAGAAGGCCCACCTTCCTCCAGATTCCTCTTCCATCTACTAAGAAGGCCCACCTTCCTCCAGATTCCTCTTCCATCTACTAAGAAGGCCCACCTTCCTCCAGATTCCTCTTCCATCTACTAAGAAGGCCCACCTTCCTCCAGATTCCTCTTCCATCTACTAAGAAGGCCCACCTTTCTCCAGATTCCTCTTCCATCTACTAAGAAGGCCCACCTTCCTCCAGATTCCTCTTCCATCTACTAAGAAGGCTGACCTTCCTCCAGATTCCTCTTCCATCTACTAAGAAGGCCCACCTTCCTCCAGATTCCTCTTCCATCTACTAAGAAGGCCCACCTTCCTCCAGATTCCTCTTCCATCTACTAAGAAGGCCCACCTTCCTCCAGATTCCTCTTCCATCTACTAAGAAGGCCCACCTCCTCCAGATTCCTCTTCCATCTACTAAGAAGGCCCACCTTCCTCCAGATTCCTCTTCCATCTACTAAGAAGGCCCACCTTCCTCCAGATTCCTCTTCCATCTACTAAGAAGGCCCACCTTCCTCCAGATTCCTCTTCCATCTACTAAGAAGGCCCACCTTCCTCCAGATTCCTCTTCCATCTACTAAGAAGGCCCACCTTCCTCCAGATTCCCTCTTCCATCTACTAAGAAGGCCCACCTTCCTCCAGATTCCTCTTCCATCTACTAAGAAGGCCCACCTTCCTCCAGATTCCTCTTCCATCTTCTAAGAAGGCCCACCTTCCTCCAGATTCCTCTTCCATCTACTAAGAAGGCCCACCTTCCTCCAGATTCCTCTTCCATCTACTAAGAAGGCCCACCTTCCTCCAGATTCCTCTTCCATCTACTAAGAAGGCCCACCTTCCTCCAGATTCCTCTTCCATCTACTAAGAAGGCCCACCTTCCTATTTCAGATAAGTTATGTTATCTTTATCAATGTTCTTCCGCTGGATATCAGTCTTCATTATTTTTAAGCTTTCATCCTCTTGGTAAGTGTTTCATCTGAGTAATTTCTCCTTCCTCTCAAGGTAGATCCTGTCTACCTCTCAAGGTAGATCCTGTCTACCTCTCAAGGTAGATCCTGTCTTCCTCTCAAGGTAGATCCTGTCTTCCTCTCAAGGTAGATCCTCTGTTCCTCTCAAGGTAGATCCTGTCTTCCTGTCAAGGTAGATCCTGTCTTCCTCTCAAGGTAGATCCTGTCTTCCTGTCAAGGTAGATCCTGCCTTCCTCTCAAGGTAGATCCTGTCTTCCTGTCAAGGTAGATCCTGTCTTCCTGTCAAGGTAGATCCTGTCTTCCTGTCAAGGTAGATCCTGTCTTCCTCTCAAGGTAGATCCTGTCTTCCTCTCAAGGTAGATCCTGTCTTCCTCTCAAGGTAGATCCTGTCTTTCTCTCAAGGTGGATCCTGTCTACCTCTCAAGGTAGATCCTGTCTTCCTGTCAAGGTAGATCCTGTCTTCCTGTCAAGGTAGATCCTGTCTTCCTGTCAAGGTAGATCCTGTCTTCCTGTCAAGGTAGATCCTGTCTTCCTCTCAAGGTAGATCCTGTCTTCCTCTCAAGGTAGATCCTGTCTTCCTCTCAAGGTAGATCCTGTCTTTCTCTCAAGGTAGATCCTGTCTACCTCTCAAGGTAGATCCTGTCTTCCTCTCAAGGTAGATCCTGTCTACCTCTCAAGGTAAATCCTGTCTACCTCTCAAGGTAGATCCTGTCTACCTCTCAAGGTAGATCCTGTCTACCTCTCAAGGTAGATCCTGTCTACCTCTCAAGGTAGATCCTGTCTACCTCTCAAGGTAGATCCTGTCTACCTCTCAAGGTAGATCCTGTCTTCCTCTCAAGGTAGATCCTGTCTTCCTCTCAAGGTAGATCCTGTCTTCCTCTCAAGGTAGATCCTCTGTTCCTCTCAAGGTAGATCCTGTCTTCCTGTCAAGGTAGATCCTGTCTTCCTCTCAAGGTAGATCCTGTCTTCCTGTCAAGGTAGATTCTGTCTTCCTCTCAAGGTAGATCCTGTCTTCCTGTCAAGGTAGATCCTGCCTTCCTCTCAAGGTAGATCCTGTCTTCCTGTCAAGGTAGATCCTGTCTTCCTGTCAAGGTAGATCCTGTCTTCCTGTCAAGGTAGATCCTGTCTTCCTCTCAAGGTAGATCCTGTCTTCCTCTCAAGGTAGATCCTGTCTTCCTCTCAAGTAGATCCTGTCTTCTCTCAAGGTAGATCCTGTCTACCTCTCAAGGTAGATCCTGTCTTCCTCTCAAGGTAGATCCTGTCTACCTCTCAAGGTAGATCCTGTCTTCCTCTCAAGGTAGATCCTGTCTACCTCTCAAGGTAGATCCTGTCTTCCTCTCAAGGTAGAGCCTGTGTTCCTCTCAATGTAGATCCTGTCTTCCTCTCAAGGTAGATCCTGTCTACCTCTCAAGGTAGATCCTGTCTTCCTCTCAAGGTAGATCCTGTCTTCCTCTCAAGGTAGATCATGTCTTCCTCTCAAGGTAAATCCTGTCTTTCTCTCAAGGTAGATCATGTCTTCCTCTCAAGGTAAATCCTGTCTTTCTCTCAAGGTAGATCATGTCTTCCTCTCAAGGTAAATCCTGTCTTTCTCTCAAGGTAGAACGTGTCTTCCTCTCAAGGTAGATCCTGTCTACCTCTCAAGGTAAATCCTGTCTTCCTGTCAAGGTAGATCCTGTCTACCTCTCAAGGTAGATCCTGTCTTCCTCTCAAGGTAGATCCTGTCTTCCTGTCAAGGTAGATCCTGTCTACCTCTCAAGGTAGATCCTGTCTTCCTCTCAAGGTAGATCCTGTCTTCCTCTCAAGGTAGATCCTGTCTACCTTGACAAAGTCATGTGGCTTTTCACAAAGATCCTCTTCCTTCTTCTTCTTATCCTCCTCAACTGAGCTGTAATCTAATTCCTAATTACTTTTCCTGGCTCTGCTAGTTTTCCCGAACAGCTTTCCAGGTTACACTAATTACATTCCACAAATTAGAATTTTTTTTCGTGGCATCTTTTCGCACCTCACTAGGTACCAGTACCTGTTTTCCCGTACATGAGTGAGAAAGGCTGGGTCTGATAGGTGTCTGGGGTACGAAAACAAACTCTTGGGTACCCTTGGGAAAAAGATTGGACCAATAGATGGTTGGTTTTGGTAAGGACCTGCCATGTATGGGCCAGTAGGCCTACTGTAGTGTTCCTCTAGTCTTATGTTCTTATCTTTCCCGTTAGTACATAGAGTATAAGCCATTTCTCAGAAGTCTTCCCTCCTGACAGGTGATATGGCTGGGCTGGCTATTGGTATGCTCATTCTGGGCGGCATTGTGGGCTACGCTGGTATCTACATCTACGCCTCCAAAAAGTAGATATTGGAATTAGATACTTCAGACTTCAGGATAATTCAGTACATCTACAAGCGGACTACCACAGAGCGTAGCCAACCTGTTACAAGTTTCCACCTTCAAGAAAATCTATCGTCTACTAGCAGTCTACTCAGACAGCCGGTAGACAATCAGCCAAAAGTCTACACTTTCAGTCTAATAGATCTTCCACTAGAAGTTTACTCTAGGGAAAAAAATGTAATGTCTATTTGTCCAGATAACAGATCGATTAACAATCTGGTTTACAAGTCACAGGGAACAGAAATCTTCAGTCCAAGATCTTTCGCGTCTCCGTGTGCGTCATCAGGAGCTATGCAGTGTCGCATATATTTTATATAATAAAGTATATTAATATCGATATGTATGATAATGTAAATGCAGTAAATGTGTATAATAGAAATTTTAACCTTGAATTATATAGTTCCCTTGGAAGAGGTTAGTAATGCATAGATGCCAGGGGGAAGGCTCTTGATCCAGGGAACTGGAGCTGACTTGTTTCATGTTCCTCGGATCAAGCTTCATTACCTCCTAGTCATCGGGCGCTGTAAGGGGACCTTACGGTCTTAGCGCTTCCCAGTGATTACAAAGAATATCCTCGTTTTAAATTTAGCGTTATATGAACGTAATCGAGAAAGATAATTGAGTAAGGTAATTAATTAAGGCAATTAGCAAGAAGCAGGCCTAATAATTTCATAATTTTGACAAGTTTTCAAACACAGTGATTGGAATGTCACAAATTATTAATAATTACCTGCTAGATTAATATAATTACCTGCTAGATTAATATAATTACGTGCTAGATTAATATAATTACCTGCTAGATTAATATAATTACCTGTTAGATTAATATAATTACCTGCTAGATTAATATAATTACCTGCTAGATTAATATAATTACCTGCTAGATTAATATAATTACCTGCTAGATTAATATAATTACCTGTTAGATTAATATAATTACCTGCTAGATTAATATAATTACCTGCTAGATTAATATAATTACCTGCTAGATTAATATAATTACCTGCTAGATTAATATAATTACCTGCTAGATTAATATAATTACCTGCTAGATTAATATAATTACCTGCTAGATTAATATAATTACCTGCTAGATTAATATAATTACCTGCTAGATTAATATAATTACCTGCTAGATTAATATAATTACCTGCTAGATTAATATAATTACCTGCTAGATTAATATAATTACCTGCTAGATTAATATAATTACCTGCTAGATTAATATAATTACCTGCTAGATTAATATAATTACCTGCTAGATTAATATAATTACCTGCTAGATTAATATAATTACCTGCTAGATTAATATAATTACCTGCTAGATTAATATAATTACCTGCTAGATTAATATAATTACCTGCTAGATTAATATAATTACCTGCTAGATTAATATAATTTCCTGCTAGATTAATATAATTACCTGCTAGATTAATATAATTACCTGCTAGATTAATATAATTACCTGCTAGATTAATATAATTACCTGCTAGATTAATCAATTACACAACTACTAGCTAGCATAAGTAATTAGGTAATGTGGAGGTGGTCAGTCCCTCAGCCTTGATATAAGGTGATCGGTCCCTCAGCCTTGATATAAGGTGGTCAGGCCCTCAGCCTTGATATAAGGTGGTCAGTCCCTCAGTCTTGATATAAGGTGGTCAGGCCCTCAGCCTTGATATAAGGTGGTCAGTCCCTCAGTCTTGATATAAGGTGGTCAGTCCCTCAGCCTTGATATAAGGTGGTCAGTCCCTCAACCTCGATATAAGGTGGCCATGATTTCAGCCTCGAAATAAGATGGTCAGTCCCTCAGCCTTGATATAAGGTGGTCAGTCCCTCAGCCTTGATATAAGGTGGTCAGTCACTCAGCCTTGATACAAGGTGATCAGTCCCTCAGCCTTGATATAAGGTGGTCAGTCCCTCAGCCTTGATATAAGGTGGTCAGTCCCTCAGCCTTGTTCTAAGGTGGTCAGTAGCTCAACCTTGATATAAGGTGGTCAGTCCCTCAGCCTTGATATAAGGTGGTCAGTCCCTCAACCTTGATATAAGGTGGTCAGTCCCTCAACCTTGATATAAGGTGATCAGTCCCTCAACCTTGATATAAGGTGATCAGTCCCTCAACCTTGATATAAGGTGATCAGTCCCTCAACCTTGATATAAGGTGGTCAGTCCCTCAACCTTGATATAAGGTGATCAGTCCCTCAACCTTGATATAAGGTGATCAGTCCCTCAACCTTGATATAAGGTGATCAGTCCCTCAACCTTGATATAAGGTGATCAGTCCCTGAACCTTGATATAAGGTGATCAGTCCCTCAACCTTGATATAAGGTGGTCAGTCCCTCAACCTTGATATAAGGTGATCAGTCCCTCAACC